TAGACGGTATACGATCGTGACTTTTTGGTCGGCCAGGTAGCCTTCTGTCCATGGCTGGTGGCAAAACTGTTTGTAAGTCATCTGGTATGTCCCACTCAGAAGGATGTAGAATAGGGTATACAATCTCGCCATAAGTCTGTCGATATACTTCTGTAGTGTAGCAATCCATAGCGTATGCGCTTGAATCATCTTGGTTTAGATGAAGAGAAACTTTTATAACATGGCCATACGGATAACCAGATGTTTGCCATTTCATACAACTACACGTCTTTGCATTTAGATCGACAAGCTCATTTAAGTTATTATCCAGTACTTCAAACAAAGTGTTTGAACATGGTTCAACTCTCCATGACGTTGACTTCACAACACGTTTCGTTATCTTTTTTTCTGTCCATGGTGTAACACAATGTTCCAATGTTCCTGTAAATTTAAATAAATAATACTTAGTAAAATATATGATAAGTTACGAATTTAAAGAAATAATACATGCATGGTTTCTTTTCTTGTAGTACCACTGTTGAATAGAGGCTCGAAAAAACTCCATTAACATAGTAATGGGTAATTTTCGGGAATGACGACTTAGAGAGTTGATTGATTCTGCACTATTAGACGTCATGAAACCATATCTTGCTCCAAGTTGATGTACTCTTGACCATCTTTCAAACCCGACATCTTCTAGTGTTTGAGCACACTGAGACAAAACACGTCTTAAACAGTTTATATGCTTATTAAAATCCACTTCTCGATAAGCTTTTACAGCCTTCTAGTATGTCCATTTGTGATTTTTTATACCAGTAGACCTTGATTTTAGATTTATATACAAATGAACACCACAAAGTCCATGAAAAGCATCTGGGAAACACCTTCTAACAGCGTTGTCAATTGAGTTTTCCCTATCAGATATGATTGTCAGATTGCTAATAGGACCTATGCAATCCCTAAGATGCCCATAAACCATGTCCATGAATCAGAGGTTTCAGATTTTCCAACCCCGTAAGTTATTGGCAGTATCCCATTGTTAGCATCCATGGCTACTGCTAATAAGTTTACTCCAAGGTATCGACCTTTTAAATATGCTCCGTCAACTATAATAACTGGGCGCATGCAATTAATAAACGAACGAATCTACAAAATCATATACACAAGAAATATAATCATTTAAATGTGAAATGCATATAACTAACAAAAATGAGTCAACAAAATTATATTGATTTACTAACCGCAACACCAATGGCGATAAACATCAACTCAAAGCGTCCATCTCTATCTGTTTTGATATGAGTTACCGACCCAGGATTTTTCAGCTTTAAATTGTGACAATAAGCCGGTAGTTGGGCAAACGATGCTTCTGGCGACCCCCTCAACAATTCCAAGGCATAACATTTGGCTCTCCAAGCTTGAAAATATGAGATACTAATCTTGAACCGAGCATTCATGTCAGTCATAATTTCATGTCCCCGATATACCCTACCATTCAAAAACATTAACTCAGCCAGAAAACCACCCAACACCTTTTTGTTTGCCTGTCTATGGTGAGGAAAAACTTGGGTTCTTGAACATGTATGTTTATTAATAAAAGTCCTAACTTGAAAATTTTCGCAATCTTTTATCCTCTTTGCAATCATACGCCACATACAGTTTTTGTCAATCATACACCTTGTTTCGAAACGATCTTTGCTATTTGTTAACTTTTAGTTGATAGCCATCTTCCATACATTTCGTATACAAAGCTATCTTCAAGTCTTCCTTTGTATCAAAACAATCATCTTTCTTGATACGAATAATTTTTGTGTGACAATCAACTGCTATCTTTACCAACTCTTCTTTCGGTATCTGAAGTAATTCTGGCATATTCCAGTTATACTCCCGTGGTATTTTCTTCGGGGACTTTTCTTTGGGGATTTCTTCTTCTTCTTTTTCTTCTTCAGTGTTATATGAATTACAGAATGGATGTTCAACATGTTCATTTACAGTCGTAACTTCCTCCTCATTATCATCAACAACATCTTCCTCGGCAACGGCTGTTTCATCATCAAAATTCGGGTATTGACCAATATCAAAATCATTACACGCAGGGTCTGTTTCTTCTTCTGAAAAATCATCAAAATCCGAGTATTGACCAAGATCAAAGTCCTGGTATTGACCAAGATCAAATTTCGAATACTGACTAGTACTCACAATTTTTTTTGTTGGCTCATCATCGTCTAACTGGTCAATACGAAAACCAGAATTTGGTGCTGAAAGTTGATTGGGATTTGGATTAGGGAAAGGTTGTGGGTTTTGAGATTGTGTTTGGTATTGGAAATGTGGTGAAACAATATTTGCTTGGTGATGAAATTGTGGTGGAACCATTAAATTTTGAGCACCATAGACTGGGGTTGAAAAACTTAGTTGATTACTACCCGCTACTGACCCAACTTCACTACTTCTAGGTTCAACAACATATAATGTAACATCATTACTTGAAACACTAATGTAAGCAATGAATCGTTCAACATCTTCATTGTCGGTTAACAAATAAACTTTACCATTTTTCTGATAAGATAGCCTAAATCCACTTAGGGGCTCTAAATTCAATTTATTTGCAACACGTAACATTAGAGTTTCATAAGTTAACTTTTTTAATGACAGTTTTAGTTGAAGATTCATGGATAAAGGCATATATTGTAAAACACCATGAACATTCTCCCATGACCCTCCAAAACACAAATCTATCCAAACATGATCAACATTAGATGATTTCATTATTGTAAATTAATTTACTAAACAAACGAGCTGCGAAACTAAAACATGTTGCCGGATGGGGAAGGATGTCGTTGGATATAGGAACGGATGTCGCCGGAGAGAGTGATAGATGGAGATGGAATGAGTTGCGATTTAGGGATTTAGGTTATGAGTTGATGTTGCTGCGTATTTATATACCCAAAACATTTGTGTTGCGAAATTAAAACCTGTTGCGAATTCAGAAATCGAGTTGCGAATTTGAAATTCAGTATTGCGATAGTCAGAATCTCATTGCGATTTACTAAATCGCAATGCGATTACGTAAATCGAAGTGCGAATTAGGAAAATCGCAATACGAATTAGGAAAATCGCAATGCGATTACGTAATCACAATGCGATTTACGCAATCGCATTACGATTTTCCTAATTCGCATTGCGATTTACGTAATTGCATTGCGATTTTCCTAATTTGCATTGCGATTTACGTATTCGCATTGCGAATTAGGAAAATCGCAACGCGAATTTGGGAAATCGCAATGCGATAGTCAGAATCGCGTTGCGAATCTGGAAACTGATTTGCGATACTGGAGATCGCGTTGCGAATTATCGATCGCATTGCGATTTAGTTGGTCATTTTGGCAAATCCAAAAAAAGTTGGTTAAAATCGTATATTATAAGGCATTTTTGGTCACTGAGGTTATTTTCTCTTTTTTATTTTCAAAATTTAAGTATTAATTTAAAAAAAATCACGTGTCAACTTAAAAAGTATTGATTTTAAATATTTTAATAAGTACAATAAGCATGAACCAACTTACCGCAGTGGTTAAAGGAAATTATTGTTATTCTTAGAGGTAACGAATCCGAACACCAGCAACTACAACAATGATTGAATATTCATTGTCAAATAGTTGATAATATTTAGAATAAATACTACTTTATAATAACCTTTTGCTTAATAAAAAAATAATATGTACAATAAGTGGTTAAAGGAAAGATATTATCTATAGAGGTTTTGAATCTCAGAACCATATTTATAGGAATATTTGAACGTTCATTATCAAATAGTTAAAAAATAATTGAAGGTCTTTTAAATAGATATTATATTATAATTATTCTAAATTAATTAAAAATAATAATGTGTAGAGGTGTTTGAATAAAGCTCATCAACCAGTTCACATTGGGAAATACAAAGAGGGGATCAGCATTTGAGGAATTCGAAACTATTTTTCCCTTTATTTGGTTTAATGACGATGGAAATTAAACTTGTGACTCAGACAACTTTTTTATAGAAAAAAATTTGGTAAATTCTTCGATAATGTGAGGTTATGACGTCGTTTGAGAACATATTTTGTTAGGTATGACTCATAAATATACCGGTAAAGAAAAGTCTCGTAGAGGAGTTATTTTTGTAAATATGTAACATGGTTTATTTATTATAAAAAGATATGTAACATAAACCTATGAGACATTGAATTGAATAAAAATTCTAGCACCGCCTAAGGTACCGAGGACGTAAGTACATTGCTGAACCTCGTTAAAATTCTTGTGTTCTTTCGTTTGTCTTTATCCGATTATTCAACAATTGGTATCAGATGTCATGAGCAATATTCGATGGTCAGGGTAACTTCGGATTATGGCAAACAAGGGTGAATGATTTGTTGGCGCATCAAGGGATCCTGAACGCTTTGCGACCTATAAAGACGACGTCGATAAAGGAGGAAGATTGGGAAGAATTGTAGCAGCGAGAGGCAGGAACCATACTATTATGTTTGACGAACGAGGTCATGTATCACGTCATGCATATGTCGTCTCCAGATGAAATTTGGAAGAAGTTGGAAAGTCAGTTTATGTGGAAATCCTTAACGACTAAACTGTATCTAAAGCAACGGCTGTATGGGTTACGGGTGTAAGCGAGCCGAGTCGAGCTCGAGTACTGCCGAGCTCAACTCGAACTTGAAAACTTTAAATGTAGGCTTGACTCGAAAACTCGTGAGCCTAAAATTTTCAAGTGCGACTCGAACTCGAAAGATAATATTGAAACTCGACTCGAACTCGAAAATGCTCAAACTCAAGAAAAATTCAAGAGCTCAACTAAAGCTCGAAACTCGAGCTCGATTCAAGCTCAAGTGCTCACCGCGCGGCTCCGTAAATTAAACCAATGAGTTTGGACTTTAATTTATAGGATCACTTGTGGAGCACTTGTTTCTATCTTAAAAATGTGGGATATCAAGACTTCCCTTCAAATTACTATCACTTTCTTATAATCCAAACGCCACTTTTCTCTCATCAAATTATCATACCGATGGCTCGTACCAAGCAAACTGCCAGGAAATCAACCGACGGCAAAGCTCCACGTAAGCAGCTAGCCACGAAGGCCGCTAATAAGTCAGCTCCGGCGACCAGAGAAGTAAAGAAGCCGCACCGTTTCAGACCAGGAACCGTGGCTCTAAGGGAAATCCGGAAATACCATAAGAGCACTGAGCTCCTGATCCGAAAGCTTCCGTTTCAGAGGCTAGTCAGGGAAATCGCTCAAGATTTCAAGACTAACCTGAGGTTCCAAAGCAGTGCCATCGCCGCTCTTCAAGAAGCTGCCGAGGCTTATCTCGTCGGTCTGTTTAAGGATACCAACTTTTGTGCAATTCATACGAAGAGGGTTACGATTATGCCTAAGGATATCCAGCTTGCTCGGAGGATTCGAGGCGAGAGGGCTTAGATTTGTTTGTTTATCAGTTTTTCAATGTCTAGAATTCGAGATCTATGCTTTTGTTCATCTTATTGTATTTGCTCTCTCTGCAAATTTTTAATGTAAATCAGTAGAATTGTAGTGGATTTATGGTTTTGTGATTTCACCATGGAATTCGATTAATGAAATCAGATTAGTTTCTTCATATTGTAAGGTTAACCTTTATTAAAATTGCTTATTTCTCCCCACATCTGATTCTAAAACCATAAAGTGTTGTACATTTTTTCACCCAGTAAAAAAAATTAAAATTTCTAATTTTTGTTGGAAACAAAATGAATTTTCGAATATATTTGTGACAATTAAATGTACTACTTACAAATTAAATTACAACATACATCATTAAATTATGAATTTTGTTTTAATTTCAATTCAATTTAGGATACACAAAACAGAGAGTGGAAGAGAGAAAAAGAAAACCAAATAAACGTGGACAATGGATAGGTATTCAAGCCCGTGTTTTAGAAATTGAGTATTAGCATTTTAGGACCTGTTATATTTGTAATCTTCTGATTTCGTCATTAATCAAGGTTTACGTTTTTATGATTTGGGTTGTTAATTTATTTTTATTTTATGTTTTGATCACCGTTTGTTTTGATAATGAACATATTGATTAATTTGACCAAGTGTGATTTATTAGTTTATTTACATATAAACCCTTGTTAATTTCATTAATTTCATTTTGCATATTTTGTATGTTACCTTCATGTGCATAACTTAACCCCTATCACATAATTGGGTTAAGGGTTAAGGGTTAAGGGTTTAGGGCTTAAGGCTTAGAGTTTATGGTTTATGGTTTATAGTTTAAGGCTTATAGTTTAAGGTTTGAGATTTAGGGTTTATATTTAGTTTAGGGTTTAGGATTTAGGGTGTAATCTAACATGGGCATAATTAAATAGGCTTTTATTTTTCTTTTAGTACCCTGTCATATAATCGGATTAAGGGTTTAGGGTTTAGGTTTAGGATTAAGGGTTTAGGGTTTAGGTTTAGGATTTATAGTTTAGGGTTTAGGGTTTAGGTTTAGGGTGTAATCTAACATGTGCTTAATTAAATGAGCTTTTATTTTTCTTTTAGTAATATACAATGTAACAATTGGACGTGGGTTGCTTAATTAAAAAAATTAAAAATTAAGGGTAGTTGTATTATAGGATTTTTAATATATTTTAAAAATTTTATAATGATCAATAATATATTTTTAATAAATTTTATATAATGTAATTTTAAAAAATCTAAAATTATAATATAACATTTTTTGAGCTGCTCACGAGGTTCTCGAGTCGAATATCGAGTAGCTCGTTTTGGCTCGTTAAGAACTCGAGTAGAGCTCGAGCTCGAGTCTATTCGATCAGAGTATTTATCAAGCTTTGATCGAGTCGATCTCGAGTAGCTCACGATTTGTCTCGTCTCATTTACGACCCTGGTATGGGTTGAAGATGTAGGACGATCATGATTTGGCGCAATGATAACTCTATAAAAAGGTCACATTTTGGGACCTTTTCACTTAAATTATTGAATGTTTAAGAGCTCATTTAGGACCATGTAGATGCATTTAGAAGCATTTAGTTGCATGTGGTGGAAATCGGTTTGCCGCGGCATTTTAATTTGTCATCAGTGCTACCTTATTGGGAAGGTGTTTGTCTAATGTTGTGCATGAATTGAAAGCAAGGGAAAAGCGGAAAGGAAATGACGTGACATAAGGAGATTACTGAGAAAAATGCAATTGCCAAGTTCTACTAGCATTTCGAAAGCACTTTAAGTGCGAGAAGATATTTTTAAAGCCAAATGTCTCCGACTTCCCGAGAGCTCTGCCCGAGAAATCATATATTTACATTTTATTTTGCCTTGACATTTTCATTTGTTTGCATTAAACACAATCTATTTTTCCATGACATATCCATTTGCTACCACCATACCACCATTCCATTTCCACAACATCCATCTCATTTTGCCATAGCATTACCTAACTTTACTTAGGTGACAAAGTAAAGTGCTTTAACAGAACTTATTCGACTTCCTCCAATCCTTGTGGAGACGATACTCACTTATCACTGTATTACTTGTTCGATTGTGTATACTTGCACACATATCCGCACTCATTTTGTAGTACTCACAAGAGCGGACAAGTTTTTGGCGTCGTTGCCGGGGATTGGCAACTGGAAGTTAATTAGTTTTGTCATAGCATTTTTATTTTACTTGTTCAATATTTTTTATAGTTTTACTTGTTATTTTCCTTGTCTTTTTCAGGCTTTTATTTTACATACTCAACGTGCTCAAGCAAAGATGTACCAAATTGGAAATCAAAGAATGGCTCAAGTGGAAGATCAGAATGCCAAGGCAATTCCAAATGTTGAGAATGCAGCTAGGCCTCGTACTATTCGAGATCATTTAAACCCTATCATGGATGACCTACATCCTGGAATTATGGCACCTATGATTCAGGCAACCCACGTCGAGCTCAAACCGGTTATGTTCGACATGTTGGACTTTATTGGACAGTTTGGTGGTGCTCTTCATAAGGATGTAAGGCAACATGTTCGGGCATTTTTTGAGGTTTGTGACTGCTTTCGACACCAATGTGTGCATGAAGATGTACTGAAATTGAAGTTATTTCCATATTCTTTGAAAACTCACGCCAGGGCATGGCTCAATGGATTACCTTCCGGCTCGATAAAGTCTTGGGCTGACTTGTGGAAAAAAAATTTGCTATGGCATAATCAACCCGATATGAACAACCATCTTAGAAATGCCATAGCATCTTTTCACTAAGGCGATGAAGAGTCTATGTATTAGTACTGGGATCGATACAAAAGTTTGCTTCGCAAGTGCCCCAATCATGGATTCCACGGCTGGACTCAAGTTGTGATGTTCTACAATGGAGTCAATGCACCCACGAGGATGATGTTTGATGCCTCGGCAAATAAGACATTACTTAAGCAATCACCAGTAGAGGCATTTGACATTCTGGATAGGATTGCCACCAACGATTACCAATTTTCATCTACAAGGCTTGGCCTTGGGCGAAAATCACATGGAGCTTTCGAGCTAGATTCTAAGAATTCGGTGTCCGCCCAACTTGCTGCTTTCACCAATATGTTGAAGAACTTACAAAGGCCAAGTGAGGTGAGAGAAGTGAAGGCAACCAATTCAGCATGTTTATTATGCCACGGCAATCACAATGAGAGTGAGTGTTCGATCAATCAAGAATCCATCAACTATGTGCGCAACTATAATTGAGGCAACAACAACCCCTATTCTAACACATATAATCTTAGATAGCGTCAACATCCAAACTTTTTGTGGGGAAATCAAAGAACTAACAACTCTAGTCATCCCTCTAGGCAGCACAACTTCAGTGACTCCCAGGGTTTTCAAACGAATATGCCATGGCATAATTCTAACGAGGGAGTACCATTTTCATCTAACACAAGCTCTTTGGATGCCACAATGCAAGATTTTATCGCAACAACGAAGACCATGCTGCATGACCATGCGACCTCTATAAAAAGCCAAGAAGTTTTGCTTCAAAGTCACAACTCGTCTTTAAGGGCCTTGGAGGATCAGGTTGGTCGAATTGCCACGACATTACATTTTTACCCACATGGCAGTCTACCTAGTGATACTGAAGTCACTAAGGCTCAAGACAAGGAGCATTGTGGTACATTCACCTTAAGAAGTGGCATGAAAATCTACAAAGATGTTAAGTTTGGGAGAGAGACATTCGGGGAGCCTGGTCATGAGATTGTGCTTGAAGATCCGAAGGTGCAAGAAGATTCACATTCACTGGAAAATAATGATGAGGGTTCGAAGAGTGCAGCCAATGAATATAAGAAAAATTTTGCCACGGCAAAAGAAAATCCCCCATCAATAGGAGTTGATTACCAAAGGAAAGCTGCAGAATTTTGCCACAACAAATTTTTATGCACTGATAATCACTTGAAGGAGCTCGAGGTTATTCCGAAGGAGATGAGTAAGTCTAGCTCACCCATAGATAGACCGAGTATGAAATTTAAACCTTTGAATCCTATTGAATTTACTAATCCTAAACCCCAACTAGCTGCTTATTTTTCTAGGCTAGAAATTATGAAAGAACTAAGGAATGAAATAGAGATTAAGAAAAAATTCTATAATGAGAAATTATTATTTGTCGCTGCAATTTTGTGACATGCTAACATTGTCAATTTTCTCGTTAGTGTTGTTTTGCTTCCTTACTTGACTAGCCTAGGAAAGAACAAGGCCATACATGATGGTGGATACTAGCATAAGGATGGCCTCGACCTCTCCAACAAATTTGCTGCCCAAATGATTTCAAGTTTCCAACACAAAAATGAGCAAAAAGAGATCTCATTTTACTACCATTCAGCTTCAGGAAAAGAGTATTTTGAAGAAGAGATGACTACTGCAAAAGTCCTACAAATCAGATGTGAAAGACACGAAATGCCAGGGCAAACTATTTTGAAGGCAGAACTATTATATGTGTGGGGCATTTTGGTCTACAATGGTGCTCCAATCGAACGAGACAAAAATGCCATAACAATTTGAGATGTTTTGGAAAGCACAGACTCTCAAACATGTAGACAAGGATAAAGGCCCTATAGTAGCTGCACCCACATAGAAAGAAGACTCAATTGGTGTTGGCACAAACGATGACATTGCTGATGATGTCCACCCATATGCACAAATGCCACGGCAAATTACAATACTTCTGGCCAAGCAGGCCCAAGATCAAGTGGCGAATCCGACCAGCAACCTGATGACCTTCTTTGCCTATATCAAGTGACGGGATGAGGATGTGACAGTAGCCTTCATGGAGCTCATTCCACAGCCCACTGAGTCAACGAAGGAGACACAATCCGAGATGCCACGGCAAGCTGCTTTGCGTAGGAGCTGACGCCACCTGAAGAAGGCATATAAGCGCGAGGAGCCCCAACTCTTAACCGTCTCTAAAGGTCCCAATACTCCTCCAGTTGCACCTGCTTCTGACTCTGAATAGTCCAGGCCCACCCAACTACGTAAGCGCACCCGTGGCATGATTGCCATACCACCACACGCATGAAGTCAAGGTACCTTGTATTGCATTGCATTGCATTCATAGCATGTAGTTTATATTCCTTAGTTTTAGTAAGCATTGAGGACAATAATTCTCTCAAG